CCAGACAAGACTGTGCCGTTCGGCGGTGTCTCGTCTGGGTCCCTCTCCTTCTGAAGGCAGAGAGTCGACAAAAAGAATAAACTGTAATCATTATCTGTTTTCCTTCAGTAAGTGAGAGTGCTTTCTAAATAGTGTTATACTAGTTCATCTCATGGAGGTGTTCAGCTACTCTACAGCACCAAATAATGGGGAATTTTTGTTCATGTTATATCGAATCCGTCTAGACAATGATGATGTATTGTTTTTGAAAATTATTTCCTCATCTCATAAAGCATAATAATTGATAGGAAAAACTGAAACTCATGCTAAGCAATAATTTGTGTGTTCCTTTTTTGTAATCATTTCACCCCAAGCAAAGTGGTAATGATTCTAGCACACACTGGGTGAAAATGGAAGTGAAAATGAGTGAGAAAGAGAAGTCTCTGAATAGGGAGGATTGTGGAAAGGACAAAATAAAATGTTCAGGTTTCTATCAGAAATTAGCAATTGACGCTGCATTTAATTTTTCGAAGATTGTAGTTATCAAGGTAGCAAGGAAACAGAAGGGATGTCTACAGGTGGCAAATGCGGGAAAATAAACTGTTAGAATAGAATTGGCGGTTTAATTTAGTTATTTCAACAATAAATCGGTTGGACCTAGTTGCTAATCTTGTAGCACTTTTAAATTCATGTTGTCGAGGCACTAGGGAAAATAATTATCAGAACAGTTGCCTTGAAATATTTGTAAAAACGACAGAGTGGAGCCACGTCAGGCCGGTGAGTAAGTGACTGAAGTCAAAATTCTAGATCAGGATCCATTACAATTTTTTTTTTAAGCATTACGTCCCGAGAAAGGCGTGCAGCCACTAGGATGCAGGGGGTTGCAGAATATTTGGAGCGAGAGCAGATAGGAGTGATAGAAGAAAGGGTGAGGAGAAGGATAGTGGATAGATCAAGGTAATTGGAAGTGTCGATTGACATCACATTTGAATAGTTGGAGATTATAGCTCTCAGGGAAACAGTAATTGGGAAGGGTGTTCCACAGGCGAGAGGTGGGAGGTATGAAGCTATTGGAGTAGAAGAGACGGCTACATTTAAAAGTTTTTACAGTGTAAGGGTGGGAGCGGGATGCCAGTCTCGTAGGTCACTTGAATTCATGGAGTCTGGGAACCAGTGAAAGCAGCTAATTCAGGCCTTTTTTGAATTTTATCAAGAATCTTGAGTGTTAAATAAACATTTTTTCTTTTATAAAACATTCTTTCAGGACGTTTACAATAACCGTCGCCACATCTCCCTGACATTTAATCCACAATATTATTTCTCCGTCAACATTAAATATTAGCCTATTTTCTTAGTGCTTATTTCTAATAATGAAAAGCCTAGTATATGTTTTCGAACAGGAACTATAAAACAACGGGTTTTGTTTATGTTCCAAAGTCACCATTCTTTTATATACGTAAAAATATTATTGTATGTGATAAACAATGCACCATCCTAGAAGTGTGTTCATCGATATCTATGGCTCCAGTAAGGGAGTACATTAAATAAATTAAGCAATAATTGTGCCAATGGACATCATAAAATTATACAGAAAAAGTTTTTCAGCGAAATCATCAACTCTTTCAAGATAGCCTTTAATCAGCGACGTTCTGCATTGATAGTTTACCAGCAATCGTCTTACCACAAAGTAACTCTGCGGACATTATATTAGATTGAGTTAAGTGTAGCCATCAAGGTTTTAACTTAACCATTTTCACAGATCATTAATTTTGAATGTATTTTTTGCTTATAATGTCACAATAGGTCGCTATTAGATGTACTCTTGAAAGCTACAGACCATGATATAAAGCATCAGTCTATATCGCGAGATAAATGTAGCTCCCAGTTTGATGAAAATTCAGTCCTTTCGTGGTGACACTAGAGTAACCTCTGTAGGGTAGCGGTCTGGGTGATGGTATATTGAGGCAGTGCGTTGCCCAAACTACATGCCTCGCTCACGACCCTACATGACCCAAAGGAACACAAGGCATTATTTTGAGGGCTTGAGTGGAGGCGTTGTCGGAATGTTGTCAGTGTCGACATTCCATTCGGGTTTTCTTTTTAGATTTACTTCTATACCCTTTTCTGTGTTTGGCTATGAGCACAACGCAACAGATGTTTAAAATCGGGTTTTTCCTTCCGTTACATAGATTGCATTCTTGAGTTGTAGTGCTCCATATAGACATCGTAAATTAAATAAGCAATAACAATTGATCTTGTTATTACGAAACCATAAAGGAAAATATTGGATATTGTTTGCGATAATATTTAAGTATACATATTTTTTAATCATTTTACCTCAGTCGAAGGCGATAAAGCCACTAAGATGAAAGAATCATAGAAAATTAAGAGAACTTTACTGAGGAGAATGTTCAATAAAAGAAACGGATTCAAAGAGTGACAATGTTACAGTTGAGTTGCTGTAAGATCATATTTTACAGAAAAGCAAGAAGCTGGAAGATACTTCTATAGGCAAGACGTGCGGAGTATTAAGACAAATTCTGAATATATATATATATATATATATATATATATATATATATATATATATATATATTTTAAATTATGAAAAAATTGGTAATTCATATGGGTAGTCCCAAGGAGGATGAAATCCTGGGAGCTCAATGTAAATCCAGAGCTAATATTTTAAAGAAAAAACAAACCACTTTAACGTTCCATTATAATAATTTATTTCACCAGAACCCTTTTAAAAGACGCTGGACCATCAGATAGCACTTCCAATATATATACATATACACACACACACATATATATATATATATATATATATATACACACATATATATATATATATATATATATATATATATATATATATATATAAGCTGCAATTTTTTCAAAGACGATACGTTGTATTCCTCTCACTGCACTATCGTTATTTCAATGGTGACTCTTCAGATAATTAATGTGTATATCTATCGTCATTTATGTTACGTTGTTTTCATGATGTGGGAGATCATAACTCTGCATAACTTCCTCTTCTTTGTAAGCAACATTTGATTCGGTTATAGCATACCGATAACATAATGACGATAATGGCTATGTTCTTATTCCCATTAACATAATAGTGTATACAGTATGTGAGTCTTCCGTTAGAGATTCGTCTCCAGCTATTCTGGACAAACTCTCTGCCTCTGACCAGAGAGGATCGCCAGACGAGGATATGTCGAAAGGCTGTCTCGTCTCGGGAGACAGCAATCCGACCCTGTTTTATATGGGGTCTACAGGGTAATATTGGCCGAGCCTACGGGTTCGGATACCCAAAAATTAAATTCGGCTTTCTTCCACATCTGAACGCGTGCAGCGCTTGGTAGATATTCTACCGTTAAAGATTCCAGCCCACCTATCTTCAATGTGCACGGGCAGCTCTTAAGTATTTGTCCAAATCTCTGCCTCTGATCAGAGAGGAACCCGGATGAGGCTATGGCGAAGAGCAGAGTTTCGTCCGCGGATGTAGACAGACCCTACTCTGTGTATGCAGGGTCTACGGAAAAAAATTTTCCCGAGCCTATTGTATAGGTTGTGCCCCACACAAAAGTGGCTTGTGTCGCATCCTGCCTCGTTGGGAAGTTGGGTAAATAACCCACCGTTGGAGATTCACAGTGTCATTCACTTGCCTCACTTCTAGCAGTTGGCTACTACTTCTACGCACCGCTGGCGAATCTTATATGTGTTGTTCTTGTCCTAAGTATTATCGTTCATTACGAACCTTCGTTTGATTTTTCTATTCAGTAACCTTTCCTACATTACAATACATTACTATTACTGTTTATCCTTGCTCAGCCACCCGTTAACACAAGCTCAAGTGTCACGTTACTCGCAGCTTTCCTCTAATTCTATATGTCCTGTGAAATTTAAATTTCCATAACCGTCCTTCCTCAAGTTTTAACAGGATTGTAAATTGCAGATTTTTAATTACGAGTGTCTTATTTAAAACCTCCTCGTTTTTCAAATGTTTAGTCCAAAGTATTCTCATTGATTGTTGATTGATTCGTTTCTAACAGATTATCAAAATTGTGCAGGTTATTGAAAGCCAGAAAATATGTTTTTTAGATTGGAAGATTTATTTTTATTCTTATTCTTTCAAAGTGAATAATGATTTAGTGATACAAGTCTTACTAATTAATCCGTAGCTTGGAGGAGAAATGGTGGATTCATGTCTTACCCATAGGTATTTGATCGTAAATGAATATAACGAACCCAGTGGAAATTGATAATCATCTCTCCGTTTAGGAATTCCGAACTATTATCGATTTCACCACACGCACATCCCGGTTTGAAGCACATCGCGTTTCCCAGCGGTCACCTATCTAGGTAATAATCGGACTCAATGTTGCTTAAATTCGGTAAACATACAAAAATCGGTCTTCTGCGTGTAGATGAACTGTCTAACAGGCACGGTCACTTAGAAATGTAGATATATGGCAGTGACGTTCGAATTCCCTATTTTTTATTATCTATGGGTGACCACTTGGGATTACCAAGTGCTGTAAGCTTGAATGTGCAACTAGTGTAATGGATAATGGCCTTATCATGCTGAACCATTGGTTCCCGTAGGATCACAGATGGTAAGCAACCGCTTAGGAATAACAGGTGCTGTAGGCTTGGATGTGCAAGTGGTGTAATGGATAATGGCCTTATCATGCTGAACCATTGGTCCCCGTACGATCACAGATGTTAAGTAACATTGATTATAGTCAGTACCTAGAAGGGTGACCACTTGGGATTATCAGGTACTGTATGTTTGGATGTGCAGGTGGTGTGATGAATAATGGCTCGGAATTGTCACTTGTAGAGCTGAGTTCCAATTTCAGGCGAATTCGTTATGTTCATTTACACGTAAATACCCTTGGGGAAGTCATGAATCCACCTCATTTCCCCAGATATGTGTTAATTAGTAAGACATATATATATATATATATATATATATATATATATATATATATATATATATATAAAAACTTTTATTATCTCCAAAAAATAAGAAATAAAAATTGCGTACAAAATATTTATATTTCATATCAACCTCTATGTTTTTTTTTTTTAATATTTTTCGTCATATGTTTCTAAACGTAATAGTGTAATTTCCTGATCTGCATGATTCTGATATGTCTAATTCGAAGATCATACCTTTAGGTGCCAACAGTGTTACTGACGACTATTCGATCTCAGTTCTTATAACTAATCGATAGTCCATTCATATAGATTTCGTTCGCTAGCTTGTCTACAGTGTTCTTACAGTTTTCCTTTCGATTCTACCATCAACACAGTATCAGCTGACTGTTTTACGTTGTTGCTATTACGGCCAACTTATAGTAAATCTGTATTTCTAAAATTCAAGGTATAAAAACGTTAGCTCCGATAGCCGAAACGGCAGAGGTAGCTGTTATAAATTGATAAGCTTCATACGTAAATGATACAATTGCAGTTCGAATTTCGACAGGATTTTTTTCCCTTTATTTTCGATTTCCTTTGTTTACTGATGTACGTCGGCTAACGGTGTGAGTTGTGATAAAAAAAAAATCAATAGGATGAAAAAATTGTAGCCAGAAATTGACCATGATTTATATATAAATAGGCTTTTCTTTTTGAAGAAAGATTAATTTAAACGTTTGTTATTATTTTTTTCGTTTTTAAAGTAATTCATGTGGATTTTTTTTTTTTTGCCATTGTAACGGAAAATATAATTGTCATTTTCTTTTTGTTTCAGATGATCCAGTCAATAATATAACAACAGTCAATAAATTATGTGCAGCATGTCCTAACAAGTTTATTGTCATGGATTCCCATGACACTGACTTAAAAGTGTCAAGTTTATAGCAAGCCTTATATTTCATAGATGATAAACATTATTATTGGATGTGACTGTCCTGTGTCTGGCTAAGACTATATATAAGCGAATTATAATTGAATAAAAAAAATAACTTTCTGACGGATACATAAACTTTCAACGGCACGACAACGCCGTGCAAAATAATACTAAGTTTGCAACTGGCTGAAGAATGAGTTTAGTGTCTTCACTGCCGGTGTCAATGGAGAATGGATGACCCCGATGTCAGATACACAATTCATGAAACCTTGTCATCTTCTTCCTCCTCTTCGTCTCCGCCTCTTTCGTCCAACCCGCCTTTCGGTGGCAGCCGGGCCGGTAAGCGGGGCAGTCTATGCTGCAGCTGCTGCAGCAATACAGCAACGACAAACACGGCTACAAACACTATCACCACAACGACGACGACAAGCAGCAGCGGCGGCAACACGGACACATACGGACGAAGCACGGAGGATAAACGGGAAGGCTCGGACAGTGACCAGACTATACCGCTTCGCCCCCTTGATGGGCAGAGCACTGGTACCAGCGTTGGCACCGTCGGAGGCGGTGCCGACCCGGAAACTATCCACCATGACAACGCCGAGGGAGACGACGATGACGACGACGACGATGTTGAGCTCGACGGGTTTGTCAAGAGCGGAGATTCCGGTGATGGATCCTATTACAAGGAAAGACCTCTGTCTCCTCCAACATCCTCTTGCTCCTCCTCTTCCTCCTCTTCTTCCAGTTCTTCATCTTCAACCTCATCCTCTTCCTCCGATGACGATGATGATGACGACGACGATGACGACTACAAAATTGAAGACATGGTGGACAAGGCGATCGCGACAACGCCTCCTGAGGAAAGGGCAGCATCGATGTCATCGGCTCTCGTTGTCATCTCTTCCGACGAGGAGAAGAACGTCGTTCCGGTCAATAACAACGGTGACACCGACGATAGCGAGGAAACGGTGGCTGTCGCAGGAAGCAACACTAGCATTAAAAATACCGGACGATCCTCTTCAGTATTTCGCTGCTGTTGCTGCTGCCGAAATGACAAACAAACCCAGCAGAGAAAGCGCAGACAGCTCCGACTCGAGCAGAAACGTCGACAAAAACAGCTGGAAGACGCAAACAAGGACAAGGGCAAAGGTAAAGAAAAGGAGAAAGATAGGGAAAAGTCGTCTTGCTGCTGTAAACGAAAGAAAAACAAAGAAAAAGACAAAGCAAAGAAGAAAGACGACGACAAAGCCAAGTGCTGCAGCCGGTTCATCCTCTGCTGCAAAAGCTTCCTCGCCTTCTTCTTCTCTAACATCGGCCTTTGTTCGCTGGTCATTGGCTACTCGATACTAGGAGGATTCATTTTCCAACGCTTAGAGGCGCCGAATGAAAAACACGAGAGAGGAACTGTAAGTCTGCACCGACAACGTCATGTCGTCCGACTTTGGAATTTAACGGAGGAACTGAACGTGCTGCACGAGGAGAACTGGTCGCGTATCGCCGATGAAGTGCTTCTGGACTTCCAAAAGGAGGTCTTCGTTGCCATCAAGAAGCAAGGTTGGGATGGAAAGGACGGGACGGCAGAACTACAGTGGTCATTTGCAGGAGCTCTTCTCTATTCGGTCACGGTGATCACTACTATAGGTAAGTAACTATATATATATATATATATATATATTTTATTTCTTGTGATATGTTTTCATTGTGGTGATCCTTGTAAATTAAGAGATACATTTTCTCTCACAATAAGTACAGATGAATTCTTTATTCTAAGAATCCAATTTGCACATTTTTATAAACAGTATCTTCCGAACGGTCGTCAGTTCTGTTTTATGTCTGAACGGACATTAGTCAGTACTGGAAAGAATGCTTACAAATACCGAATTCTTCTTCTTCTTCTTCATTTTAGGATATAGGCAATTATGGCTCTCCACAGCTTCCTATCTCATGTTGTTCTTAGCATTCTTTCTCTTTTTGCAAAGGTTCTCGCCAAAGTTCCACAATCTATTCACACCAAGTCCTGGCTCGCTGCCTTTCTCTAAGCCCCTACTCTCAATATTCCCTGAGAGGGTTAAGTTTCCAAGCCCTCCTTCCTCATTATGTGACCAAGGAATTCAACGGTCTTTGCTCTATTCTGAGAAGGTGTTTTTTGCCATTTTCTTTAAGACTTCGTTGTTGCTTACTCGCTTCGCTCATGTAATTTTCAGTAAGAATCTGGAGAATCATATTTCTAACACCTCCAGTTATCAACACATATGTGGGGAGATTTTGCAGCATTTATTGCCTTAAAAGAGGATGAATATCACATAGCCACACATCACTCTTTTCTTGTGTGTTTGGGATGATTTCTGTCGGGAAGAGGAGACTGTTAACAAATACTTTGAAATTACGACAAGGAAAAATATTATTTATAGCCAAATTGGTGGTCACTAGGAAAAATAAGAAATCATACAATAGTAATATTAGTCAAAATACATTAATATTCAAATTCTCTCAGTGTAAGTAGTACCAGTTTCTTTTCAACTTAATTAACGACACTGGACTTTGAAAATATTATTTCATATAGTAATTCAACAAAATTTAGTAAGATTAAACAGACACGCATATACACTCACGCACGCACACACATAAACACACGGACACACACACAAACTCACACACAGAAACACACACACACACACACATATATATATATATATATATATATATATATATATATATATATATATATATATATATATATATATTTCCAATATATATATTAGAAAAGCCTGTATAATATATACGTTTTATTGAATGCTGTTACATGTTTCTGTACTTCTTTATCAGCCAAATAATAAACTTCATTGAACTTAACAATAAAAACAATTTGAATCTTTCGCCAATAAACTGAATTCCCAGAAACATTTACAAAGAAAAGATAAGTATAATAAATATAAACATTTATATATATATATATATATATATATATATATATATATATATATATATATATATATATATATATATATGTATGTATAATCTTTGAAAAACATGAGCCGGTAAGGTTGAACAATATCATATTTTAAATATATATCTCAGCGTTGCCGTTTTCCATCAATCACTCTGTTTTCATTACCAGCGCCCACAGTGTTATATATATATATATATATATATATATATATATATATATATATATATATTGTTTATGTTTATTATATTTATTTTTCATGGTAAATCTTATTACTTGACTTCAGTTGTTCATATCAATTCTTGCTAATATATTCCCGACTTCAAAATGTCTTGGAAAATATATTTTCCAAGGAACTTCGAATTCAACGAAATAACAGTAATTATTGATATGAACAATGCCGGTTAAGTAATTTTTCTGTATATTAAAATATTATTATCAATGCTCTATTTTTTAGATTTATAATATTAATATTATTTTAATATTTTTCATATTGTCAACTATATATATATATATATATATATATATATATATATATATGAGAATGCTTTATATTTTACCTACACCTTCAATGACAAAATATCAGATTATACTAAGTCCACTGAATCAGACCAAGCGCATTACTTTATTATTCCTCTGCAAAGAAAGAAGTTAGACTCGAATGTCTTCTGCTCACGTACCGTTACTTTTCGAAACCGATTTACACGAGCATGATTCCACTAATACAAACTTCAAGTCTACTGTTAACCCTTATATTTCTAACGTATACTCATAAATTGATGTTCATTCTTCTTGCTCTTATGATATATACAACAGCCTCCTGCAGTAAACCATTATTTCGAGTTGGTCTCTGGACATATATAGGAAGAACATTATTAGAATTATATTGATTTTGTAGAATTCTTCCGGGCGGATCCGAATTTTAATGAGTCTTTATTGATTAAGTTTTTGAGTGATTCATTAAATCCGTCCCTTGTAGAATGCATAAATATGAAATGTCTAATCACCCTTACACACACATGTACACCGATATATATAAAATATTTATATATAAAATATTTATATATAAAATATTTATATATAAAATATTTGTATATATATAATATAATACTTATATACATATACATATATATATATATATATATATATATATATATATATATATATATATATAAAATAGTTATATATAAAATATTTATATATATATAATATAATATATATATATATATATATATATATATGAATAAAGAAAATATTTCATAATAATAACATTGAAAATTATAAATTAATAAAGGTTTTCGAACTAGGCAATCTTAAAGTAAATGTAGAGTATTTAGAAAAGAAGCAAATATGTTAAAAACGAACAGATATACCGTAAGAATTGTTTGGTCTTATCTACATTTCAATCGTAATGTTCGAACTAATATCGGAAGAATTTTCCTAAATATAATTCATATGCACTTGAATAATTCACCAACTGTAAAAATAGTCTTAAAATCAGCAATAGCTTCATGACATAGATAAATCTATAACTAAAACTACCATTATATTATTTCCAACAAATATAACGTTATTTTTTTTTATAATTTCAAACCACCGAAAAATATGATTTCTCACTTAAACGGTCAATGTATGACTGATAGTATTTTGTACCGATCTAGCATACATTCAGTTAAGGATCTTAATTTTTATTTTGGTTCTACTGAAAATCCTTGGAAATTTCGTTTCAACAATCATCGAATGAGTTTAAGCAATATAAACTACAAAAGCAGTACTGCGCTCTCTAAATATTTCTGGCAATTAAATAATAATGTTAATGCAACTTTTATCACCTGGAATATTAGAGCAAGAACCTAATCTTATAACTGGGGAGAGAATTGATGTAACTAATGCGTGCTGAAAAATCTTAAACATTTAAATATCCTTAGCTTATTAAACAAGAGAAATGAATTGATGGTTACACATGGGCGTAAAAATAAATATCTGCTTAAATACGTTGATCAATATTGGTTTTTAATGCAATTTACGGTTTGCTTTTTTCTAAGGAAAATTAACCGCCCGTTATGCTTAATATAAAAAAAGAAAATATTCACAACTCTGAAAATTTTTTTTAGTAGATCAATATTATTTAAGTATATTACAACGAAAACATGTCAAAATCGCTACACAATTGCAGTTATACACCAGTTTTTGTTTGCTTTTTTCATAAAAATAAGTTATATTTTGATTTTAAATCTAAATAAATCGTTCACTCTCCAGTAATTTACGATCGCCTGATGAGGTGGAATGATACGCATCGTAACACGGCCGCGCATGTGTAGCGATTTTGTCATGTTTCCGGCGTAATATTATTTTATATATATATATATATATATATATATATATATATATAAAAAATTCCGTTTACTTTAAATGCCAAATATAATTTTTAAAATTAATTAACTGTAATCCCAATATAATATAAAACTGCACCAACATTACGATAAAAGGATAGTTTTTAAAATTTAAACTACGTAACGGTCAATCTATACTCAGCACTTGTTGATTGCGTTGTACATGAAACTCCTAGTCGTGGTATCGGTTGGGGGATAATGCATATATATATATATATATATAGAGAGAGAGAGAGAGAAATAATATAAACACATTGATATATCAGAACAAGTTTAGGAAGATCTATATTTAATTGAAATTTATACCCAGGTTCTTACACCACTTCACCTTTCTTAGCATATCTTGTATTATTATAATGTAGGATATTTTGTAATTATAATGCGAGAAAAAACTAAGCAAAAAGGAGAAGAAACTAAATCAAATCATCTAGATTATATGACCAGAACACATTAATTTCAGCATCCCTCTTCATCAGGCGCATGTATAAACGCTTCAAGATAAACCTCACTTTAGTCCGACGAAGCCTGAGATGACGAAACACGGTGATATTTCCCACTTTGTGATATAGTTCCCTTATATATATATATATATATATATATATGTACAAATGTAAAAGGCCGATGAGTAAGATTTCTGCGTTCAAAACATTAATTTAAAACAGTGCTCAATACAAAAGTAGAGCCGTAAATATAATTATTTATTTATTATGCAATGTTACATTAGATCATACACATACTCACTACAAAATTGTACATCTTGTTTCAACGTTAAAAAAAATTGTTTTATGGTTCCCGCTTTTGAATGTATTTCAGTGTTACTGTAAGCTTGATTGAGAAGAGATCTTCCACAAATTGAGAGATGTTCTCATTTACACAGTGAATCAGTATGAACGTCTGGGCTATGATTTACTAAATGCTATTTTTATTGCATGAACCGTTAATTTTATAACGTTGAAACAAGATGTACAGCTTTGTAGTGAGTTCTGTCCATGTTCTAATGTAACATTGCATAATATATATATATATATATATATATATATGTGTGTGTGTGTGTGATTTATAACAAACAAAAGTTTGAATCTACTTCGCACAGAATCACGTATTTATCTTTTTCAATATATGTATAAAACACAAAAACAAATTAATCATTTGAGCACTGAACGTTTCCATTCTTATAACAAGCTTTCAAGCTCTGCTTCTCAACGAGCACACCTTTTTAATTTTAATATCTATGCGTACGTCTACTTCAAATAAATAATAATCTTTTTCTCATTTCTCTTCTTTATGACTTGAAAATGTCAACTTCATT